GAGATAATATCAAAATAGTGCAAAGTTAGTGAACACAAAGCTATTATCTTTTTTCCCCCAAATCAGAGCCCAGGAATGGGAGGTAGTTGATTTGGAGGCTAGATCTTGGCAACAGACCTAACAGGCCAAGTAGAAAACTTCAGGAAAGAAATGACAGTTGATTGAGTTGAATATTATCAAGCTATATACTGCTGTGGAAATTTGGGCTTGATTCTAGAAGGTACCCATTGAGGGACTGCAGAAAGAATACTTAAAAACTGTTCATCAAGAAATGGAAGGGAATATGTTGCTCTGCGTGTTAAATCCTGACAGAAGGGAATAGACGTACAGGTTTATGATTACTAATGATCAAGCATTTTCCAAAGGAATCTCATATCAAAATTGCAGGGGAGGATTGAGGCAACATGTAAATCACATCTGAGATATTTGGAGTTTTAGAAGAGTAGAGGTTAGTCAGGTCAAATAAAATTCTGTCCTCAGAAGATATAAAGGTCAAGGCGGATCTTGTTACAAGACTGTGGTAGAGTTATCACTGAGAGCCTTGAAAGATAAACTAGAGTTTCATGAAACTCTACCTATATGAACAAAAATCTATGAAGCCCAGAAATTGCAAGATGATCTTTACAGTGTCAGAACCAGTTATGTTAAAAACCCACAAAGACCAGGGAGAGGACCAACATTTAAATCACAATGAGCAGAGGGTCATGTAATATCTGGTAACCCTGATACAGGATAAAAATAGAAATCAACATAGTGATAAGAAGAATTTTACCATTTATCATATAGTTGTCAAGCTTATCAAATCCACCATGGATGTTACCTTATTTGGAGCTGCCGGGTAGATTGTGAGAAGACATGATCTAATTCTCATTATCTAAAAGTGTGAAGTTCGTTAATGCTGTGAGGAGTCTTAACCAAAGATTCACTGTCTATATGCAAAAGGCCAGAATGAGAGCATGGGCGTATTTATCCCACTCCAAGCACTATAGTTTGCCTTGTTGTTAACAACAGTGCCTTCTCCTCCTAGCAAACACTCTAAACACAGTTGACTGTCCTCCTCTGGTGGCTCAGCACCACTTGCTCCACTGGAAGCTTGAGCAAAGTTTGCCTTCAGAAAATCACATTTCCAAAGCTACTACTGGGTTACCAGAGTCCATCTCTTACTAATGAAACCAGCTAGTTTTGTAGGAAATTGGGCTTGGATGCTAAATGTTCTACATATTTTCTGTCATGAACGGACTTCCAGAGGACTAACTAATAACCCAAATAGACAGCAAAAAGGCAGAATTCCAAGACGGTGGGACTGCCTAATACATTGCCAGATGCTTCCTGTCTAATAATAATTGTGCTTACTGGCAGATCCATGCACTCCAGTGAGAGAGGAACATTGACTAGATGTACTATCAAAATTAGAGAAAAATAAAATTTTTTGCTGTGTGTGTGTGTGTGTGTGTGTGTGTATATGTGTACACATGTGTATGAGGGCATTCACATGCCTCAAAAAGCATGTGGCAGATAGAGGTCAACGTTGGACATGGGTCCTCACCATACCTTGTTTGAGACAGGGTCTCTTTTTACCTCTCTTCTGCCATGCCAGGCTAGCTGGCCTGTGATTGTTCAGGGATTCTCCTGTCCTGTCTCCCATCTTGGCATAAGAGTGGTAGGATCACAGGCACATGCTACCACATCCAGTCTTATGTGGGTTCTGGGAGTCCAAGGTCAGATACTTACACATACTATAGATCCCTCAGCTATCTTTCCCAGGATCCCTAAAATACCATTTCTTTTATTTGTTTGTTTCATTTTCTTTGAGACAGCATCTCTCTGTAGCCCCAGCTGGCCTGGAACTTGCTATGTAGACCAGGTTGGCCTTGAACTCATAGAGATCTGCCTGCCTCTGTCTCCCGAGTGCTGAGAGTAAAGGCGTGCGCCGCCTTGCTGGGCTCTCAATTCCTGTTGTTGGTTTTGAGGCAAAGTACCACGTTGTGGCCCCAACTCATTATATAGCTCAGGCTAGCCTTAAACCTATGCTGACACCCCATGCCAGTCTCCCACATGCTGGAATTGCAAGCAGCAGCTGGCATACTTGGCCAGATTGTTTGTGCCCTTTTTTCATTTTATATTGTTTTTTAACATTTATTTCAGATATTGGAAAGTAGATGGATATAAACAAAGTCCAAACAGAATGTCTGCAGATGCTGCATTTTGGGACTGAACAGAGGAGTGAAGGAGAGACGTAATAGAAACTGACTCCATCTGTCTAAATTTAGATACTTTTTGACCTATTTAAATTGTTTTCATTATTAGGAAACACAAACCCAAAGCTATCTGGACAAAATTTGGTGTACTCCAAACCTTGTTTCAAATCGGTTTCTATATGTCAGTGAGATGTTTCAGCAAGTAATGACCCTGCCACCAAGCATGGGAATTTGAGTTTGATGTGTGGGTCACATGGTGGAAGGAACCAACTCCTGTAAGTTGTCTTCCACCTTCCACACCCACAGTATGGCACATGTATGTCAACACAAATACAAAATAAAAGTAATTAAAGAAATAATAAAATTAATTCTCAAAATCTGTGGGCTCTATGAATGTATCAATACATTTTGAGGGAGACCAATATTTTAATGGAATGTATTGTCATGTGCATTTCAAATCTGGGGCTTACCCCAATGATCCATACATGAACCATCTCTAGGAGACTGAAACAAAGGGTCTACAAAGCGATGTCCTCCAGCTTTTTGGCTTAAGTGTTTCAACACATCAGATAGGCTATGAAGTACCAGGATACACATAATTTAGAAATTTGCATGGCACTGAAATGAACTACTTTGACAATGATGCTTGTGATGATCATATTATTGCTGCAACTACTACTGATAACTGACAGCTGTTGGTAGCACCCTGTGATCTAGGTGCTAAGCACTTTGTGCAAGCTCAGCTACGTCCCACCATAGCCCTGACCTAGTGGGTGCTATCAGTATGCTCATTTTATAATTGATGAGGTTGAAGGTAAGAGATGTGAATTTCTTTTGCTCAGCAAATCAGCAGGAGATGGTGCACTCTGGTGCATTCTAGTAGCTCACCACACTACCTGGATTTCAGGTCCAAGTTATACAATGAGTCTGTTGTTTGCACTGTTACTATGCCATCATTACAATTATCTGAACAGTATGATTCTTGAATTATTTTTTAAGTGTGAGACCGAACTCAGAGGACACTCGTGTCCCCAGATATCTCTTAGAACCAACCTTCTGTCTCCTGGAACTGTGCTCCTGAGACAGGCTTCACTCACAGTTTTATTCAAACCAGTTTCTCCAGTTTGGGGAAGTGCCAGTTTGGATCCACCTTTATCCTTGCAGACCATCCTGCCTTTACATCCCTAGGTCTAGAATATTTCATTCACCCAATCTCAATCATCCTTCCCATTGTGTTCAGTGAAGTTGGGCACACTGTCTTTCAGAGCATTAATGTGTTAATTCTCAAGCACACCCACATTTGTTCATGACCTTTTAGGGCATAGTACCAAATTGAAGCTCCCAGGAAACTCCCAGATTGGTCACAATACACAAGGTTCATTGAGCTTGTCAAGGTTAATTAAATGTCATTATTCCAGACTATGTCCACTTTATAAAGTCATTCCTCTAGTAGTTGAAAACTAACAGTGGCTAGAAAATCTAATTCTCACAAATTTCCATGTCATGCCCTTGGTTGTAAATAAAGTGAAATTTCACATTTGAGAATAATTTAGAAATTGCAGGATGGCCTGGTCTAATGGCTCAGTGATTAAGAGCATTTGCTGCTTTTAGAGATGACTCAAGTTCAGTTCCCAGTCATCAACACTGGGTGACTTATAATCACCTGTAAACCTAGCTCCAGTGATTCTAATGACTTCTTCTGGCCTCTGTGACCCCTACATACATGTGAATATACACACAATAACACACACACAAATTAAAAAATATAATCATATAAAAATAAATCATAATCTTTCGGGAGCTGTTTAGGATACCACACACACAAATTAAAAAATATAATCATATAAAAATAAATCATAATCTTTTGGGAGCTGTTTAGGATACGTAGTGTGTGCGTGTGTGTGTGTGTGTGTGTGTGTGTGTGTGTGTGTGTGTGTGCATTTTGATGGAGGTGCTGAAGACCTCACTATGGACAAGAAGAAAATCAGGGAGCACTGACACAAAGAGGTTTCCTTTTCTAGAATTTAGAGTACATTTCCAACCACTTGGATTGTCTTTCCCACCCCAAACATGCACATATTTAACTTTTAGATTTACATAACTACTATCAAGATTAAAATCAGTAGGGGTGATTTACTACCTGATTCTAAAATGCTTCAGCGTGAGTCATTTTCTATGTGTATATGTTTTTATTGAATTTTGTGTATTTCATAAACAACATCTTAATCATCTTTATACCCCCTTCCCCATCGACAACATTCCATACCACCCTCCACTGGAGTTCATGCATTCTGTCATATATGTTAAGACCTATCAAGTCAAGTTAGTGTCCCCAGATATCCCTCAGTGCAAGTTCATCCACTGCGGTCTAGTCAGTCTATCTAAAGTCACTCCCTTAGTGAAGATCAGCTCTTCTTAAACAAGCAGTAATCAGCTGTCCAATAGTTATTTCGTGTGTGTGTGTGTGTGTGTGTGTGTTTGTGAGTGCCCACACAAATTAGAATCAGAAGAGGGTGTAGGATCCTTTGGAGTTAGAGTAGCAGGCAGATGTGAGCTGCCTAATGTGGGTGTTGGTATCTAAACCCTGGTCCCCTGCAAGAGCAGTACAAGATTTTAACTACTGACCCATTGTTCCAACCCCTCACTGTGAGTTCTTAAGACAGAGGAAATAATTCCCTTAGGCTGCTAACTTCCTCTCTGTGTTTTGGAAAACCAGTTCCAGCTGCAAGTCCTCCATGTGTGGGAGGCCACTTAGATTGACAAACAGCATACCAAGCCCTCAGATTAACCCTGAAGACCTACCCTGTCAGTTTTCCCTTCTGTCTGAACGCTGGTGTGGCTTCGGATCTCATGATCTTCTTCAAGGTCTGAAACATCTTCTAGTTCCTCTGGAGTCTGTGAAAAGAAGACCAGGCATTGCTCATAAGGCTCTCAACACTTTGAAAAGTCTGTAGAAACTCAGAAGGGAAACGATTGAGCTAATATATGATCTCACAAACTAACCACAGCTGTATATCCAAGAGATATGAAGGCAAAAGCTTAAACACAGATGTGAGTAGCAGCTTTATAATAGAACAAAACTGGAAACAACTCAAATGCTCTATGAGGAATACATAAATAATATATTTTCCATCTTTAAATAGCATTTCTCTACACTAAGATTCCAAGTATTTTTGTATACTATATGTCTTAGTTTGTTCTTCATTTTTGGGGCAAAATACTCTGACCAATACCAACTTGGGGAGGAAAGAGTTGATTCGGCTTACATCTCCCAGGCCGCAGTTCATCAGGGAGCCCAAGGTAGGAACTCGGGGCAGGAACCTGGAGGCAGGAGCTGGAGCACAGGCCATGGAGGAATGCTGCTTACTGGCCCCTGCTCAGCCCGCTTTCTTATGCAACAAAGGCCCACCTGCCCAGGGGTGGCACCACCCACAGTGGGCTGGGCCCTCCCACATCACTCATCAAGAAGATGCCCCTCAGACATGGCCACAGGCCAGTCCAATAGAGGCAATTCCCCAACTGAAGCTCCCTCAACCCAAGTGTGTCAAGTTGACACTAAAGCTCTCCAGCACACTACAGAACAGATAAACCCTGACAATAACATGCTAAGTGAAAGATGTCAACTACTAATATTCAATATAACATGTTATGAAGATTCTGGAATAGGCAAACCTATTGGGACAGATTTGATTAATGTTTTCTAGGAGAAAACTGTGGTGTCTGCAGTAGGGTATGTACTTTCTCCTTGGGTCAACAGTATTTTTGGAACAAGACAATGGTAATGACTATAAACCTTATGAATAATCTGAACATGCTGAGCTTGTTTGTGCTTTAAAAATTATGAATCTTATCATGTATGAGTTATATTACAATAAACATGAATAGAAAGAAATAAGAAAAGATCAGATGGAAGATTTTCTGTCAGCAAAAAGTTATTTGGCTACACACTGTGTGGTTAATCCAAACAAAGAAGCTTAGAGCAAATAAGTAAATCAGATAAGTTTCATTAAGCTAATAAGCCATCCTTTAAGTGCCGTTAAAACCATCATGAAATTACAATTTTCTAAGAACTGAGATATGATATAACTCCAGGAATAACTAACAATAAAGGTCTTTTGAAAGTCATATGGAAATCTACTATAGAAGCGTCTTTCAATATATACAAATACAGTATAAAATAGTTTAAATGCTGTTACCTTTCAGCAGGGTTTCAGTGGTATGAATAGACACCACTGGCTAGCAACGAAAGACCAATGTCACAATCCTAGTAGTCACAGCCTCCCCAGAACTCTCTGTGCAGACCTGCCTCTGCCTCCAAAATCCTCGAATTAAAGTCATGTGCCCCCATGCCCAGTATTTCTTATTTGTTTGGTGACTGTTTTCCCAACGCCCTTTAAAAAAAAATCTCTTAATCTTACCACAACCATAATTTAAAGCTATCTGTCATTATTGCAAATACAACTGAAAATTCATAAGATTTAAACTTTGTTTTGTTTTCAAAGTTAAAATGTCATAATGTGATTCTTTTACTACTTATCCCTCATGACAAATCCAGAAAACAAACAAAAAAGTTTATTTTTTTCTTTAACAAAACTAAGCAGAATGACGTGAGATTCCATCTCTTCTCTATTTAAGACTGGCCTCCTCCTTTAAGCTGTGATTCATATTTGGCATTTTCATGAATGCATAGGGCTGTCCTTTCTCTAGGATCACTCTATGATGATACAGGTGATTATTAGTTGACACAGTGGAATAAAAGTTCCAATTTCTATTCACTGTTGACTCCCAATAATTTGTCTCATGCATCTTAACCAGCATCGTTTTTGTTCTGACACTTCAGTGAGACGACCGCCCATGACTTCATAGCAGAGTCCTTATACTTATTTCAACTGACTTCTACACACACTAATGTTCCGCTCTCACTGAGGCCTCCAGTGTGCTCAGTTATTGTTAGCAATACATAGAACTTTTGCATCCTTCTTTCATTTGACTATAAGCAACAATCACAGGGCAATTGATTTTCACTCCAAGGTATTGAAAGCCTGAGTTTAACACTATGTGATATCTACAAAAATCACCCATTTCAAAAGAAGCTTCTTTGTTAAGTGGTGACTGCAATACTTATAAATATACAGATTAATGTTTTGTACAGAGTAAGAATTTGCATTTGTCTAGAGACGTGACAGCCTTGGGGTTTTCTCTAACATCTATGACCTCTCCAGTCGTGTACTTGGCTATGTTTACAGTACCACATATGAGTTTTCTATCTTTGAGTGGGCTTTAAGTCCAATTAGGCAGCTGTTGAATACCCTCAAGATAAAAGTGCCAGTACTGTACCAATGTAGTTTGCTGTGCTGGTTATTGTTGTGGTTATTAGGCCTTAAAACTGGGTTTGGACCACTGATTGATGTTGTCCCTTAGCAGCTTGCATAGTAGTCTCCAAAGCTATGAGAGCTAGCCTTCAAGGGAGGTGCCTTCCAGGTCAGTTCCAGCTCCATTGCTCTAATTCCTGTGTCTGAAGTATGTCCTGCCTTTAGCAATAGGGTCTTACCTTCAAGTACTGGAAGGAAATTAAGAGCTGTTACAATAGTTTATACAATTTGGACAACTCAAAAGGAGGTTTCTCCAGTCTGGCACTATTCTTCCTAGTAGCCTTCAACTATACAGAGACTCATGTGCAGATTATTACAGTTTTCCACAACTGGGCACACACACACAGATTTTCTGTGAAGTGTCCAACCCTAAGTGACACATCTACAATAGAACCTCTATACCCAAGTCTCACAAAACACACTGGACGAAGGGGTAGAGAGAGCACTAAGGCATCTCTCAACACTCAACAATGAAGCTCCCTCATGCAAGAGGGCCATAGACACAAAAATGCACAAAAGGCCAAAGCTTAGAGAATAAAAGTCTCCAGAGTGTTGCTCCTTTGGCAGGACTCCTACATTAAACCACCCGAGCAGGGGTCAGGACCATTGTGGAGTAGGGGGTTAAAAAATTGTAAGAGCCGGCGGGGGGGAGGTGCATGACTACACGGAAATAGGGCCTTACTGGCTTCTGGGACCTTGCATTGCTGTGAGTTCATGAGTATAAAAGTCCTGTCAGGTCCAGAAGACAAGGTTTTGCTCTAGTCCTCCCTGACCTCTGGACCTCTGCCCCCTCTTCTGAGATGGTCCCTGAGCCTTGGGGAAGGGAAGTGCTACAGATGTTCTATTTGTGACTGAATGTTCCACAGTCACATATATGCTGCACTTTGACCAGTTGCAAATTTTTGTCTTAATGATCACATACAATGTAATGTCTCAGGTAAAGACTTTCTGAACTGGGCTCTGATTGCCCAGGATATGAAGCCATAATTATCATGTGGGATTTCATTAAATTACAAAGCTTCTGTAGTACAAAGGAAACTGTTACTTTATGGAAGAAGCAGCTTACAGGAGAGGAAGATTATCTTTGCCAGCTACACATCTGACAGAAGCTCAAAGGGGATAGTATATAAGGAACACAAAAACAGTAAACACCAAGAAAACAATTAAAAATGGAGCCCAGGAGGAGGTGCATGACTACATGGAAATAAGAGTCCTACAGGCTCCTGGGACCCTGCTCATACACACCTACAAGGATGGTGTCAGCATGCACAAGACCCATACGAACTCAAGCAGACAACAACCCAGCATATAACTGTGGAAATGGGCAGCAGGCCCCAATTTTAGCCAAAGAACTATTGGCAGCCAATTACTGCTGGGTGAGAAAGAGCTGATCTTCTTAAAGGGAGGGACTCTAGTTAGGCTGAAGTAGGCTGACTAGACCCCAGTGGATGAACTGCACTGAGAGACATCTGGGAACACTAATTTGACTCAACAGGCCTTAACACAAATGACAGAATGCATGAATTCCAGTGGTGGTGGTGGGGGGGGCTATGGAGGGGACCAGTGGGGAAGAGGGGTATAAAGATGATTAGTATGTTCTGTATGAAATACACAAAAATTCAAAAAACATTTTCCAAAATAATGCATTCTGGGGCTCTGGAGAGATGGCTCAGCAAGTTAAGAACATTTACTGCTTTTCCAGAGGACATGGATTCAGTTTCCAACACCCACATGGTGGCTGGCAACTGTAAATCCAGTTCCAGGGTATACGACACCCTCTTCTAGCCTCAGTGGGCACTACACACACGGTACACTCATATACATGCAGACACACACTCATACACATTAAATAAAAATAAATATTTTAAAAGAAAATAAACAATGGGCTATGGAAAGAAATAGAGTGTTCTCAGAAGAAATATAAATGGCTAAATGATACCTTTTACTTATTTATCATCCTTTGCATTCAGTGAAATATGAATTAAAACTACTTTAGGATTTCATCTTACCCCAATTGGAAGGGCTAAAATTAAGATAACAAATGACAGATGGCTCAGGGGTTAACAGTACTGGCTGCTCTGGGCTGGGGCCTGATTTTGGTTCCTAGTGTGCATAGAGTGGCTCATGACTAGCTGTAATTACAGATCCCTCTTCTGGCTATCACAGGCATTGCATGTATATGGTTCACTCATATACATACAGGCAAATAATCATACACATAGAGTTAAACAAATATTTATAAAAGAAAACAAACAGTACTGGTGAAGATGTGTGAAGGGGGAACACTCAAGTGCTGTTAATGGGAGGGAAAATTCATGCACCATTATGTCAATCAATGTAGCACCTCCTCATAAAGCTAGAAATAGAGCTACCACATGACCCAACTCTACCATTCCTTGGTATATACCCAAAGAACTCAATTTTCCTACTAGGGAGACACATGTACACCCATGCACATTGTTGCTCTATTCACAATAGCTAGCATATGGAAACATATTTAAATGTGCTACCTATATACAGTGG